AGAATTTACTCGTTGCTCTCATGCAGCATAATTAGGAGTTTACCCACTTCATTATTTGCCATCGTACTGTTGAAATGAGCTGAGATTTCATTGGTCCTTCACTCAAGGACCTCGGATCTCTTCAAAAAGACAAGTGAGAGCAATTAACGTGAATCACACATGCAGGTGAGGCGTAAGGAGAATTGGAGCATCCCAAGCGACAGCCCCGAGCTTCCGCGAGAAGTGCTTGGAAAGCTGCCACCACCAGCTGCACCAGAAGAGGCAACAGCACGGTGAGGAGAAACATTTTGCTGACGGGCTCTCAGGCTCACAAACACCTCCTTTGCAGTGCCTCGTTCTGCTGCTGGACCAGCGTTTTCCAGTTCTGAATCCCAGCCACATCCTCCTTGGACGTGGTACTGTAGCCTGGGGACTCGGCTGTAGCGTTTGACCCCTTGAGGGATTCCAGCCCAGGTAGACCTTGACGTTGGGGATTGGGCCCAGGGGGTCTCAGTCTTCCTCGTGGCTGCAAAACTCCCAGTCTGCAAGCCAGTAACACATTTTACTACAATATTTTAAGATGCTGAAGTTGGCAAAGGACAATACTGCTGGGGCAACTCTGAATTTCTTCGCTTTCACGGGTTTAAATCAAGCTTTAAATTATTTTTAGTAGCTTGTTATTACAGCTTTTGCAACCTGAAGACAGACTACTGCCTTTAATTCATTAGTAATTTCAACAGTTAATCAGAAAATGTCATTACCTAGAAAGACTGCAGCTCAAAATAAAGCACACTGGAGTTAAATTTAAATTAAAGCATGGACAGAAATGAATGCAGCCTTTGATCCCCCTTCCATCCAGACTGCACCCTGATGGGCACAGCTGGACAGGATAGAAATCGTGAGAAGGCAGCAGTCTCGCCTGTTTAAAAGGATACTGTCAACTCATTAAGTCCTCAAGTTGAGTCAATTAAAAAAAAATATTCACTGGGTTCTTTCAGAGCTCTCCTAGTGTTTGCTGCAATGGCCATTTCTTGCCAGTTTTGTTTTTAAAGGAGGTTGATTTTCAGGTGTTTGAGTGGAAAGCATACCATTAACATCTGTTTAATCATCACGGTGGCCAAAGCCATGTTTCTGTTAGACAAGTGGCAGCTGTGAGCCTAAAAAAGGGGGCACATGCCTCTGTTGGCCTCTCTCTCTAAAAGCATGTTCCTTGGGGCAAGGGAAGGGTCTGGTTTGTTTTGGAGGGGGTGAGGTTTCCCCCCCGTGCCCAGGCGGCACCAGCAGGGAGGCAGAGGATGGAGGCACGTGGTCTCAGCCCACCGCTCCTGTGCCAGGAAGGATTTACTGCCGCTGGTGGGCATCCCTTTTTGGGCATCCACGCTTCTTCCATGCTGAGGCTGGCACGGGGTGGCTGAGAGGAGCTCTGCACCCAGGGAGGGGAGGCTGCAGGCCTGTGCAGGCTGAGCACCTCTTGCTGCCTGGCACGTATCCATTTAAAGGATGAGCTGGACTCCTGCTGCTAACGAGCAGTTAGTTCTTTACCTCACAGTGCTGCTAACGAGCAGTTAGTTCTTTACCTCGCAGCCCTTATCATAGAATCATAGAATCATAGAATTGTCCAGGCCGGAAGGGACCTCCAAAGGTCATCTAGTCCGACCTCCCCGCAGTCAGCAGGGACACCCCCAACTAGACCAGGTTGCCCAGGGCCTCGTCAAGCCTCACCTTGAATATCTCCAGGGATGGGGCCTCAACCACCTCCCTGGGCAACCTGTTCCAGTGCTCCACCACCCTCACAGTGAAGAACCCTCTCCTAATCTCCAATCTAAATCTGCTCCCCTCCAGTTTAAAGCCATTGCCCCTCGTCCTGTCGTTGCAGGCCTTTCTAAACAGGCTCTCCCCAGCCTTCCTGTAGGCTCCCTTCAGGTACTGGAAGGCTGCTATTAGGTCTCCCCGGAGCCTCCTCTTCTCCAGGCTGAACAACCCCAGCTCCCTCAGCCTGTCCTCGTAGCAGAGGTGCTCCATCCCCCTGATCATCCTTGTGGCCCTCCTCTGGACCCTCTCCATCAGGTCCATGTCCTTCTTATATTGAGGGCTCCAGACCTGCACACAATACTCCAAGTGAGGTCTCACCAGAGCAGAGTAAAGTGGCAGAATCACCTCTCTGGTGATTCTGCCCTTCCTGCCCAAGGGCACGCTGCTGGAACAGGGCTACGCCTTTCCTTTACGCTCCATCGCTGCCTATAGGGACAAGCCAGGGGCTGCATCCAGGCGTGTCTTTCAGCATTTTCTTGGGCAGCCATGTTTCCTATTTCCTTGTTCCAGTTCCCTGCATGGGAGGCACTTGGGAATTCTCGCATTGTCAGCCTGAAACAGCCACTTGGCCCATTAGGAGAACAGCTATATAGCAAACATAGTCACAAACCCACTTAGCATAGGCATATCTTTCAATAATATAGAATATAGCCTCTCCACACCTGGAAAGCAATGTGTACTTTTAAATCTTCCAATATAACTGTCAGCAGTACAGCGCTTTTTTTTTTTTCTTTTTCCCTGTACAACAATATTGTTAAAAACCTCCCCTATATCATGCTGTCCAGAGAATCATGGGACGTAGACACCACTGAACGACCTCACCTTGCCACTGTCCTGACCTGTGCGAGGATTGACCCCTTGCAAACACAGGGATGCTCCTGGCACCTTCCAGCTTCCAGCTTTGATTTAGGAAACATCAATAAAGTTCCCTTCTGGACTGCTCAGATTTGTTGGGAGCCAGATTTATCAATCCCAGCTGATTCAGGAGGGGCAGGGAGGTCTGATAACAGGGGTAATACGAGGATGACATCGGCACGGCACAGTGTGGTACAGGAGCACCTGGGCTGCCTCACTCTGCACTTCCACTAGTATTTCTCTGGTGGCCAGGTCAGCAGAGGAGTTGTCTTAAACCTCCTGACACTTTCAAAAAGCCTGGATCACCTCACCAACCCTATTTTTATGCTATAAAACAGCACAAACACACTGGGACAGCATTGTGAGAGCGGGGCCAGGACCAGTTTTGCTGTTAGGCATGTGTCAAGTGCATCCCAACTATGAGGAGCACAACTTCAGCCCAGCAGCCATGAGTTCAGGCAGCATGTCACAGTCCTGTGTCCCTATGCCTTCCCACAGGGGACCCAACTGGTCCCAGTATAGTGGTGTGTCAGAGAACGTGCAGACCTTTGTTCTAGGTGGCTGTGTACTGTAATACTTGTAAACGTATCCAGAGCATGGGATGAGCGTATATTTTAAAACCACAGTATTATTTATTGGCTTTGGAGCTTTCACTTCTCCGGTTTCTGCCTACTGGGACAGTGCTGGATTTCTGTTTTGTTTGAAATTTCATCTGAAAAGACATATATCCACTGAGTGTGGTGGTGCGGAGCCGGTCCCAGAGTTCTCAGCAATGGAACCGCTCTGTATTTAGCCCCAGGAAATACCTGCTGGAGGGGTCAGTCACAGCTTCAGGGAGCTGAAGTCGATTGGCAAAAAGTGGCCAGCTGAGGTCCAGAAATCTGTGGTGAAGCCTGCTTCCCCAGTTCTCCTTCCCTGTACGCCCCCACCTTGCAGTGAGGGCCTGCATCCCACCCCGCTGTCACCTCCGTCTCCACACAGCGCGGGCACCTCCATCTCCCCCTCTTTTCTTCCCAGCAGACTAGATTCTTTCTTACCCCTACAAGGAAAGAGAAGGGGTCTGGATAAGGACTGCTCCCAAGTGTGGGAGGAGACGGGCATGACTCCTGACATAGTTGAGCCAAGAGCATTTGGCTTGCTCCTGCGTGGTGGGGGCTCGTACCCCAACTGCACCCCAACCAGCCCCAGCCGTGGGGTCATCAGGAGGTGGCAGGGCTCCAGCAGCAATGCCTCATCCCACACAGGCAGCTCCTCGCCTCCAGCTGCCCACCTTTTGCCTAAAGCCAGCCCTGGGTATGTTTTAATCTGATTAACTACGGCTTGGGGAAGCCTGGGCTGACACGGGGGAGACTATAAATTGTTATCCATTACGATGGGAATGGTAAAATCATGACGTGGCTCAGCTCTGGCTTAAATGAGGAAGTTTTACCAAAGCAATGATGTCAAGGAAAGGTGGTGTGGAAGGAGCACATGGATCATCAACACCCATGGCAGCCCCAAATCCGATTAGTGATGCAGCTGGACTACTCCAGCGGAAGGGATGGAGGGGTACAGTTCTCCCAGAGAAGTGACAGAAGTGGGGTTGAGACAGAAGCAAGGAGTATCGGGACGGCAGCGTGGTTTAAGATTGGTTTGACGTTTTTAAGGAGTAAAAGAAGAGCTTAAAAAGAGGTGGCAGAGTATGTGCGGGGAGAGCTGTGCGAGCCAGCCCTCTAGTGGGAAAACCAGCTTCACATGGGGCGGGAGTGTGATTGCAGCAAAGCTCTAAAGCCGGTTTTTATCAGGTACAACTGCATCTTTAGGGGAGGTTTTGCTGACAGAGCTCTGACATCTGCTCGGGTGCGC